AGAAAGATGGTGAGTTTGAAGCCAACCAGGCTTCAAATAGTGGGATCTTCTTTTGGGGGAGGGGGAGTTTGAGACAGGGTTTCTCTGTGGCTTTGAAGGTTGTCCTGGAATTAGCTCTTGTATAACGGGCTGGTCTTGAACTTACAGAGATCTGCCTACCTCTGTCTCCCGAGTGCTTGGATTAAAGGTGTGCGCCACCAACGCCCGGCAATGCTGTCACTCTTTAAAACTTACAAAATTGATAGTTGATGTTAGTTCAGGTTCATGTTTTTTTTGTTTTTGTTTATTAATCTTAATTTACTTGGTATTTCTGTGATAAATAAATGCCATGACCAAAGGCAGCTTGGGGAGGAAAGGGTTTAGTTTATTTGGATTGTATGTTTTGAACACAGTCCATCTTTGAGGGAAACCAGGGTATGAACTCAAGCATGGCTGAAAACCGAAGTAGGAGCTGATGCAGCAACTATAGAGGAATGTTGCTTACTGGCTTGCTCCTCATGCTTGCTCAGCCTGTGGGGTTTTTGTTTGTTTGTTTGTTTTTTTGAGACAGGGTTTCACTGTGTAGCTTTGGCTGTCCTCAGATGACACTAGCTTGTATCAAGTTGACAAAAAAACTAACCAGCCCTGGGATCTCACTGTGCTTTCATGGCCTGGAACTCACAGGAGAGTCACCTGTCTCTGTTTCTCAAATGCTGTGATTAAAGGAGTGACCACCACGCCCAACCACTTAATTCAAAATTAATTAATTAATTAGAGACAGTCTCACTATGTAGCTTTTGCTATCCTGGAATTTACTATGTAGGCTCTAGCCTCAAATTCATAGAGATCTGTTTCCCTTTGCTTCTTGAGTGCTGGAATTAAAGGTGTGTATCACCATGCCCAGCCTAAAAATTTATTTTTTAGATTTATTTATTTTATATTATGCATCTGAGTGTTTTACTTGATATACGTATATGTGCTGCATGTACACCTGGCGCCTGCAAAGATCAAAAGAGAGTATCAGACAGAGAGAGCTATAGTCGTGAATGGTTGTAAAAGAGAGTATCAGATAGAGTGCCGGGTGGTGGTGGCAGCGGTGCACGCCTTTAATCCCAGCACTCGGGAGACAGAGGCAGGCGGATCTCTGTGAGTTCGAGGCCAGGCTGGACCGACAGCCTCCAAAACAATACAGAGAAACCCTGTCTCGAAAAACCAAAAAAAAAGGAAAAAAAAAAAGAGTATCAGATAGAGAGAGCTCTAGTCGTGAATGGTTGTAAAACACCATATGGGTACTGGGTCCTCTGCAAGAGCAAAAAGGCCATTTCTCCAGCTCCCTCCCCCTTATAGGTAATTTTAATATCTCTACTTGGAGATTTTTAGACATATGATTTGCTTCTTTTTGATTTAGCTCATTCAGTTGGCCAAAATGTGTTAGTCATATTCAATTTGAAAGCTCTGGACCAATTTCAGAGCTGAGATATGCGGATTGCCGACTCACTTAACTCCTTATTTGGATTGAAGCGGTGGACTTTAGTGTGCTCATGTCTATTTACCTTTGAAATACTTCCCTGGATTCATTGAACAGGATTTATGCTACATTGGCCCTACTGTGTAGTTCTGTGATTTTGAATGTCTGGATGGAGAGGATTAATTAGATGAAGATCACTGAATCTGTCTGTCCTTGGGTAACTAGCTAGATAGCCTTTTGTATCCTTACAGCAGCAGCCTTTTTATAGTTTAGGCTTTCCACATGGCTTATTATTAAGTATGACAACTTGTCATATGTAATCAGCATCATGTCAGTTTCATGGGAACAGCACTCCTTTAATCAGCTACTTCTTAATCTGGTAGGGTGTGAGACATATGGTAACCAAGACATTGTCATTTACTGTGTGGGTTGGTGGTGGTGCTGGGGGCTGTGTATGTTTTAGATGTGCTTGTTGTCTTCCAGAAAGAGGCTGATGACAGATGGCATCTCTTATTTCCTATTTTATACTGTGCATAAAAAATTACAGTCATATATTCTAGGGTTCAGTAGTAAATCACTTAATAGAATGATACCCCCCCCCCCCCAGCGCCCCTGTTCAGTCTTGTCCTGTCCTTGAACCTGTAACAGTTATGCTTCAATCTCCCAAATGCTGGGATTACAGGCATGAGCCACTCCAGGCAGAAGATCTGTTTTCAGCTATTGTTTCTTCATAGATTGTTGGCACATGGGCAAATAGTGATGAGGACTGGCTGATTACAGACTATCAAATCTGAAGCTAAAATCTTATGCCTGGATTATTGAGTACAGTTCTTATCAGTGTGGATGTAGTAGTTGAGGTCTGATTCCTGTTTTCCTTTTTTTCTATTCTCTGTCTCCATTCACTGCCATAAATAAATGATGTATTTATTGCCCTGTATATGTGGTTAGTCAGTTTTCATATTCTCTTGTAGAAAAATCACTTCTCAATTTCCTTACTTCTTTTAACTTTTGCCATTTTAGTAATTTCAAAGCAGTAGCAAGTAGCTTTTTATTTCTCTACATTTATATATGAGCTATTTTTTTCTTGTCTGTGTAAGTTACAGAAATTCAGTTGAGTTTCTTTTCTTTTCCTGCAGCAGTTTTTCCTGTGTACCTATTGAATGCAGTAAGGTTATATTATGTACACTCTTCTACCCACTGTAATCCTTAGGTCCGTACCACAGAGATAGTAACAGCCACCACTGTCAAGTATTTGTGTTCCTTTAGTCCTGTTTGACATAGTCTTAGACAAAGAAAGTGTCTCAAAGTATTGAAATCTGGTCAGAACTGTCTATGCTGAAAGTCTTCTACTGACCTCCAGCATAAGTAAGTGTCACTGAAGAGTAGGAATATAGCACAGTTGACAGAGTGTGTACCTAGCATGCATAAAATCCTACATTCCATCTCCAGCACACCTAAAGCTGGGCATGGTAGCACACAGTCAGAAGTTCAAGGTCACCCCGGATTATAATATAATAGTGACCTTAAGTCCAACCTGAGAAACTTGAGACCCTGTCTCAAAAAAAGAAAAAAGAAAAAAGGAATCACTAAAGACTTGAGATGTGGAGAAACAGACTTAAATTGGTCCATGGAAGAATAATTAAGAAAAAGAAGGGCAATAAGGTAAAAATGAAGTAAAGTGTGTTTTATTTATTGAATAGTGACACTGGTAGTGAATTCATAAGGTTGCTTTTTTTTTTCCTGTTGGTTTTTTGAGACAGAGTTTTTCTGTGTTATTCTGGCTGTCCTAGAACTTGCTCTGTAGACCAGGCTGGCCTTGAACTGACAGAGAGCCATCTGCCTCTGCCTCCTGAGTGCTGGGATTAAAGGCATGCATCACTACAACCTGGCCTGGGTTACTTTTTTTTTTCCTTTTTTTTTTCTTTTTTTTTTAATTCTTAATTATACAAAATTAAAAGTATGGCCAGTGGAGCCAGGCATCATGGCACATGCTTGAAATCTCAGCACCCAGAATGTGGGACAGAGGGATCATGAGTTGAATGCCAGCCAGGGCTATTTAGTAAGACCTTGTTTCAACCCCTTTCCTCTCAAAACGGTGTAATCCGAGTGAGGAGATAGCTCAGTTAGTAAAGTGCCTTCTGTGCAAACATGAGAATTTGAGGTAGGATTCCCAGCACTCACATGGTAAAAGCCAGATGCAGTCGCATTGGTCTGTAACCCCAATAAAGGGAAGGCAGAGACAGGTGAATCCCTGGGACTCATTGGCTAGTAGTGTGCTCTAGGTTCAGCAAAGATCTTGTTTTAAAAAATAAGGTGGAGGAGCTGGAGAGATGACTCAGCAGGTAAAAGCACTTGGTTGCTTTTCCAAAGGACCTGGGTTCGATTCCCAGCACCCATGTGGCAGCTCACAACCGTTTGTAACTCCAGTTGTAGGGAACACAGTGTTTTCTGGTCTCCATGAGTACCAGGTGTGCATGTGGTGTACAGAAATTCATTCAGGTAAAACACTCATATGCATGCAAACAAACAAAATAAGGTAGGAAGCAATTGAGAAAGGAACCTTATGTTTCACTTACATGTATGATTGCATTATTCACGCTTCTTGTATACACACACACACACACCATGGAAACATTCAAGGAATAAAATGAGAAGTAGGAGCATTGTAGATTTTCACAGTGAGAATGACATTAAAGCTGTGTTATCCATAAGGTCCTAGATGGTTGCACTTGCATTTTGCTTGGTGAATTTGATTCTTAGTCAAAGCCAAGAACAGAGAGATACTTACTATCTGTCACTGGAAGCTCTTAGGGCTTTCATCTGGGCTGAGCACAGTTCTTCAAAAGTTCTTGTTTACTTCTGAGACAGGTGCTCACTATGTATGTTGCTTCCTCCTCCATCCCACCCCCACCGCCAGACAGGGTTTCTCTGTGTAGTCCTGGCTTTCCTAGAGCTTACTCTGTAGATCAGGATGGCCTTGAAATCACAGAGATCTGCCTGTCTCTGCCCCTGAGTGCTAGGATTAAAAAGGTGTGTATAACCACTGTCTGTCTACATATGTTGTCTTGACTGGCCTAGAGTTTGCTGTCAGACCAGGCTGGCATTAAACTTGGCAACCCTTGCCTCCCAAATGCTGGAATTATGTGCATAAACAACGTGCCCAGCTTTTCTTAGGACCATAAAGCCTGGCTCACACATTTCTATTTTGAAGGTTGTTGCATGCAGGAAGAGGGAACCTATATGTGCTGGTGCTGTTCTCTTCCCATCTCCTGGTGCATGCTTCTGGAGCCAGAGATGTGCAGGGGCTTCTCTTCTGTGTTAGAGTTCACTCTCAGTACCTAGGCCCACTTACTCTAATTGTTGTTTCTTCCTTGCTTTTTCTTTTTCTTTCAGTTCTGGGATCAAAGTCAGGGTGTCTTCGATTGAGCAGTTCACTGATCTACACACCTCAGCTTTGTTATTTATTGTTGCAAAAAATACCTTCTAGCCTTGATAATAAAATTTGATTTCTTATTTTCTGACTTAACTATTTCTGGTTGTGTTTTTGAGCTAGGATACCACCATGTTGCCCAGGCTGGCTCTGTACTCCTGATCTCAAGTGACCCTCCTGCCATATCCTCCACAGGTGATTACCACCACTGGCTGTCTTCTAATGGCTTGTCTGTCCCTCTCTCTGTAGTAACCTCTCTTGTTTTCTCTTGTTTGTTTCAGGAGTTCAACTAGACGTTGCTCCACAGTCTTTGGACCCAGAAGTTTTATTAAAAGTTAAGTCTGAGATTGAAGAAGAACTGAGATCCTTGGACAAAGAAGTCTCTGAAGGTCTGTTCCCCCTTGCTTTCCTGAGCAGTGAGCAGACTCTGTCAGCTGTGGGTATTGTGGACTTACTTGGTGTTCTCTCTCTCTCGTTACTGTTTTCATTTTTGAGATAGAGTTTCACCTGTCTGGCTGGTCTAGAACTCTGAGAAATCTGACCGCCTCTGCCTCCAGTGTTAGGATTAAAGATGTGTACCCCCACATCTGGCAGCAGCTGCCACTGCTGCCTTCTCCTCCAAAGATGTATTTATTTGTGTGTTCAAGGTTCATAGACCAGACATGAGTTCTTTGCTGTGGAGCAGACCTTACTTCCCATCAGAAAATGATTTCATGGCCTTTCCCCCCCAAAAATATATTCTTTTTTTTTTTTGGTTTTTCAATACAGGGTTTCTCTGTATTGTTTTTGAGGCTGTCCTGGAACTTGCTTTGTAGACCAGGCTGGCCTTGAACTCACAGAGATCTGCCTGCCTCTGTCTCCCAAGTGCTGGGATTAAAGGTGTGCGCCACCAATGCCCGGCCAAAATATACATTTTAAATTATTTTTTATTTTGAAAACATGCTAATTATATCATTTCCCCCTTTATTTTCCTTTCCTTCTTCCAGGTCCTCTCATGTACCATGCTTTCTGCAAATTCATGTCCTCTTTTTAAAATTGTTGTTAACTGTGTGTGTGTGTTTCTAAATACATAAAGCCTAATAACTTTCAATAAACAACTGATAGATTGTGTTTATAGATAAGTTTCTTGTTAGGTGGGAAGGAGAATGAATAAAAATTGATGAACAAACTGGGCATGTGGTTTGTGCTCGTAGTCCTAGCACTTGGGAGACTGAGGGACTGAGGGACAAAGATCCTTATAAGTTTGAGGTCATCCTGGGCTACATAGTAAATACCATGTGAGCCTAGGCTACAGTGAGACAAACATGAGAGAGAGAGAGAGAGAGAGAGAGAGAGAGAGAGAAGAAAATGTACACATAAACAATTCACGGTGGTTTGTGCCTATTATCCCAGTGCTTGAGAGACTTAGCTAGGAGAATCATGAGTTCAAAGCTAGCCTGGGCTTTATAAGGAGACCTCCATCTGAAAAACATTAAAACCTCAAAATTTAGGACTTGTCAATTTTGTGTTCCAGTCAAGATTAATATGTACAATGATCTTTCCAAGTACCTTAAAACTCTTGTTCCTAACAGTGAATGCCTTAGTTTCATGGACTCTCATAAAGATACCCCCTTTCTTTTCTTTTCTTTTCTTTTCTTTTCTTTTCTTTTCTTTTCTTTTCTTTTCTTTTCCTTTCTTTCTTTCTTTCTTTCTTTCTTTCTTTCTTTCTTTCTTTCTTTCTTTTTTTTTTTTTTAAGATGGGGCACATGAATCCCAGCTTGGCCTCAGATTCACTATGTAGCCAAGGCTGATTTTGAACTCCCAGTCATTCCTCCATCTCCTTAGTGTGTTCCCATGCCCAACTTTTTTTGTACACAGGCTCCTGCTGTGTAGACCAACTGATTTAGAACTCACTGTGTAGACCAGGCAGGCTTCTTACTTGAGATTCTCCTGCCTCAGAACCCTGAGTGTCAGGATTATAAATGTGCACCATTATACCTGGCTTACAGCACAACTATTGGTACCATTTATTTTTGTTGTTCTTTTAATTTTTATTCATTTATTTAATGTGTATGGGTGTTTTGTCTGAATATGTGTCTTTGTACCATGTCCATACAGTGCCCATGGAGTCCCAGAAGAGGGGGTTGGATTCCTTGGGGCTGGGTGCTGGGAATCAAACCCTGGTCCTCTGGAAGAGCAGCAAGTGCTCTTAACTACCGGCAATCTCTCCAGCCCCAGCACCATTTATGAATTTTGGTCTTTCTTTTATCTTGTCTTTAGCCTTCACCAGCACAGGCTTTGACTGTCACACCTCACCTGTGTTTAGCCCTGCTAACCCGGAAAGCTCAATAGAAGACTGCCTGGCCCATCTTGGAGAAAGAGTGTCCCGGGATCTGAAAGAGCCTTTGCATAAAGCATTGCAAGTGATTCTCAGCCAGTGAGTTGAGCTGCTGAGTGGAGTGTGCTTCTTCTCTGAGCAGTGTCTGGGGGGTCTGTGGTGCTGGGTTGGCTGAGGCTTGTTTTGAATGCCAGATCTGCCTCAAAGCAGGGGTATAGCCATTCCAACAGAGATCTGATGGCTTTTATTTACCTGTTGAGCTGTCAGGTTTCAACAGATGCATTTACTGTTATAAACACAAGTTATTGCCCTTGTCCTAATCACTCCTTCTCTCTGTTCCATTTAGTGGCCATATATAGTCATAGCTATAGTGGCTGGGGGTTTGTGCACTACAATGTGTGATTAGCATCATTGTCTTTGTATTTTGGATGTCTGTATTTAATATTGTATCTATATCACAGTATCATTATCCTTTGGGGTTGCACATCTGTCTGTGAAGCTACTTCTGTATTCCTGCAATGAACTCCTTTCCAATTATGGTCCTCACCGTAGTAAAGCTAAAACTGAGAAATTAGTGAAAACACAATCATGCCAAAATAGAAGCAATTCATTTATGATGAGAATCATTGAAGAATTAATGTGAATTACAGCATTAGAATGAATTGATGAAGACAGATCACTTACAAGGAAATATGTTGCTCACTAAAAGGTTAAAATTCAGATGGCAAATCTCTGTTACAATAAGGAAATTCCTTACTGTTATGTAGTCAGGGTTTACAGTTTGCTGTGTTTTTATCAGGAAGTAATTGAGGTTTCTCTGTATTCTGGTGAAAGGAGTGATATAAAATCCTTAGTTACATTCAGGAAATGAAGCCATAGTTGGGTTTTCTACCTCAGACACAAGTGTAAAGAAATGTGGAAAGCACAGTGTAAGTGCCCAGGAAGTAAACTTAAGCAGGAGATGGGGCGTTGGCGTTCTAAGAGTGTCTGTCTGTCCAGAGCTGTTGCCCTGAGCGCTGAGGGCCTAAGGAGGTGAAGGGTGGATTGAACAGGGTTTATTAAGATTCTCTGTCCTTAATGTTCATATATTGTATATACCGAGATTATAATCTTAAAAAATTCTATTGTCTTTTCTTTGTCTTTTTTTTTTTTTTTTTTTTTTTTTGGTTTTTCAAGACAGGGTTTCTCTGTATTGTTTTGGAGCCTGACCTAGAACTTGCTCTATAGACCAGGCTGGCCTCAAACTCACAGAAATCCGCCTGCCTCTGCCTCCCGAGTGCTGGGATTAAAGGCGTGCACCACCGACACCTGGTTTCTTTGTCTTTTTTGAGACAGGGTCTCACTATAGCCCAGGCATGGCCTGAATTCACAGAAATCCATCTGCTTTTGCCTCTCAAGTACCAATTAAAGGCACATGCCACCATGATGCCTGGCCTTCAAGATTGGTTATTTATTTATGTATTTATTTATTTTAGCTTTTATTTTTGTTTATATGAATGTTGATGCCCAGGAGGCCAGAAAAAGGAGTTGAGTCCCCTCCACCAGAGGCCCCATCGTGGGTGCTTGGAACTGAACAGTCTGGGAAGCGCTCCTAATCTTAACTGCTGAGTCATCTCTCCAATTGTTTCATTCTTCATGTCAGTTTCTTCATTTACGACTTGTAACTTGGCTGGAATATTACCAACTCTTTTACGAACAGAATGGTATAATTTTGCTTGTTGAGACAGGGTCTTTTATTATGGAGTCTTAGATGACCTGGGAACTAACTCAACAGAGAATTCACCTTGCCTCTGCTTTCCAAGTGCCACCATGCCCTGAGTTTCTTTTTTCTTTAAGGGAAAGCTGGTTTAGATGAATATTTACTTTTTCCCAAACCTTAAATTGTGATACAATTATTTTTGAAGTTGGTTGTATAGCAAATAGAATTTGTTCAAAAGTCTTACTTTGGAAAAGTTTAAGCTGTTACTAATACATTGGAAACAATGCAATTATTGTACAGATTGAAGGCAATATCTTAATGTGGAAATATCTGCTACTCCAAATGGTTTTGCTAAGATAGGAAATTGATCTTGAACTATTTCATGAAATACCTTTGATTTCTAAAAGTACCCCTTTCTTCTCTGCTCTATTCCAAGACCGCAGAAGGAAGGCTGGTTATTCAGTTACTTACTTTTCTATATATTAAAACATGAGTGCTTTAACCTGCTACATCTTTCATGTGCATGTATGTGTGTACATATAATGTTTTAAATCATGTTTCATTCTGAAGGATGATAAAGTCCTTAGCCTGATAGCCAGACTACCGATAAGGATTTCAGTGGCTCGCACCAGCATCAGTTCAGGAAAGGAAGTGAAGGGACCGATAGTCGAAAGTGAAGCTTCAGGGAGCTATAGGTAGGTGGATGGTGTAGCATCTGGTGAAATTCCAGTCTGACAGGGCTCTAGTTTGCAGCCCACTACTTCAACAGAATCCTTAGCACTAGTAAGAATGTGACGTCAGCAAAGTAGTCGTCTTGTGTGTATGTCATGCTTATGAAGATCATCCCTGTGGTAGCACCATAGTTGTAGTTGATGCTGATTTGTATAGCAGAATGATAGCTGTGCCATCAGAGCTGTTTCCTAATGTCTTTAATCTGATGTTCTGCAGTAGCTACAGTGAAGGTAAAAACATCTGACAAACACCATCACTATAGTCAAAATATTCTAAAAGCTCAAAAATTATTAGTGAGATATTTCACATTCTTTTTTCCTTACTGTTTGAAATACAGTGTGTATTAATATCTTAAACACAATAACCACATTTTAAATTCTTTTTAGCTACATATGACATATAGATATTTTTGTGGCATACATCAAAATCCTAACTTGAGCCCAATGGTAGCCTTTAATCCCAGGCAGAGGCAGGTGGATCTCCGTGAGTTCAAGACCAGCCTGCTCTACAAGAGCTAGTTCCAGGACAGCCTCCAAAGCCACAGAGAAACCCTGTCTCGAAAAAGCAAACAAGCAAAAAACCCAAAAAACAAAAATCCTAACTTGAAATGGAAGTAGTGTATTGTTGGAGCCAGATCCAACTAGGTGTTTCCCAGGCATGGTTTTGCCTTCCTAATGTGTAGTGATGATATATGATGTAATGTAAAATATAAATATGAAAAATATAAACCTAATATACTAGCCACTAGTAAGTGCTAGTTTTTATTGTTTTTATATATTCATTAGCTAAGAAATACAAACTAGAGTAGTCAGAACAGAAAATGCTTCTGAAATTGTTTTTTTATTTTTGTTTTTGGAGACAGGGTTTCTCTGTAACTTTGGAGACTGTCCTGAAACTCTGCTCTATAGACCAGGCTGGCCTTGAATTTACAGAGATCTGCCTGCCTCTTCCTCTTGAGTGCTGGGATTAAAGTTGTACACTACCACCGCCTAGCTGGAATTGGATTTTTAAAACCTATAAAAGAAAAACTCCCATACTTCTTATTTTTCTTGTTTTATCTATCTGTCTGTCTGTCTATCTATCTTTTTTTTTGGAGACAGGGTCTCTGCATAACCATGGCTGTCCTAGAACTCACTGTGTAGACCAGGCTGATCTCAAATTCAGAGATCCACCTGCCTCTGTCTCCCAAGTGCTGGGATTAAAGGTGTTGCCACCACTGCCTGGTTTAGATTTTTACCTTTTAAAAAAAAGCTAGATTGTGTTTTCATTTAACTGAGTTAAGTTTTACATGTTACTATTCGATTCTATATCTGTATCTGTATTCTGATTCTGTATCTTAAGTCAGCATTTATCTGCAACATAGAATATAAATTCCAAGTAATTAAAAATAATGAGTAGAATATATCTCGATGTACTATAACAACCTCCCCAGAAATATAGAGAATGTTTTGGGAAAAAAAACACATGCCAAATATTAAAAGCCATATCTTGAAAAAAATTATGTTGAACAATTATAGTCATATTAGCAAAAAGTTCAGCAATATAGTAGTTTTTGTATATTTATTCATCTGAAATTTAAGCCCTTTTTTGTGACATATACTTTAAAAAAAAATCTCTACAGGCCAATGACTTATCAGGCATATCGTGAATGTACAGAGGAGACTGCAGTTCATGCCAGCGGTTGGAATAAGGTATTAACCAAATTATCTTTGCTCTTACATAAAATATAGAAAGAATTGTTAGCATCACACAGCGTAGAACTGTTAGCACTAATTAATATGTAATTCCAAACTATGTGAAGTGAGTATGTTTTTTTTCTTTGATTAAGCTGCAAGGTTCTACAATGTACCTCAAAAGTATGCGTCCAGTAGTATGCTGTCCTTCTTTTCTATGCTCCTTGAGTTTCCTGCTATTTCTGGGTTTCTCTGAGTTAGATATGACATTTGACTCCAGATAGTTACTTGTTAACATGTGAGTTAACATGTCTTAGAGAAGAATGAGATAGATAACCTCTTCAGGTTCTTTTAAAGATTAATGCCCTTTGTGTTTTTATAGTTTATGTAGTAGTGTATTTCATGTCCAATCTCATATGATCATTCCAAACTCTTTGAAGAATGAGCAGTGGATTTTATTGCCTTATTTCGGGGCTGGAAAGGCGTGGGATATCCTGCTGATCTAGATGGAACCCTGGATTCTGCACAGGCCACGCAAGCACTCTACTGGTGAACTATATTCCTGGCATAATGAGGTTTTGTTCTGTTATTAGGTTGATGACTACTCAGGAAAGGGTTAAATAGTTTGTGTAGGATCTCCTGACTAACAACCAGTTCAGGTTTGCTGGTTCTAGCCTTCGCACTGTGTCACATGATTATCTGTTGTCTTCCACTGTGTTGCCTGCCTGTTGCCTTGCAGGGCAGAGTGTAAGAGATGACTGTGAAGAAGTATAGCATGGGCAGCCCTACTGTGCACAGCACACATAGTCTGTCTCGTGGGCCAGCTGCATTCATGCCTGCATCTTTCCTGGTGGCTGCTTAATGGTCTCCAGTGTCTCAGGGTCTCCATTGCAACTTAGGGTTCATTTTCACATCTTACACAGAGGCCTCGCAGAACTTCCTTATAGGGACTCTGATCTACTGCAGCTGTCTGGAACCATGGACAAGATTCTGTGAATCTCTCAGTTGCATCTTTCTTGTGTCAGTATCATGTGGATGATGCTGCCAACTCCAGGTGGAGCCTGGCTCTTTGATCACAACTGCAGTAGAGTTTGTGTGTGCCAAGGTCACTGTTTGTGAGCAGGGAACCCCTTAAACTGTATTTTTAGTTCAAGCTGTCTGCTTTCAACAGATAAGCCTTTTCACAAATTGGTGCCTTGAATTGAAGGGATCTTGCTTACCCTCAGGATACCTCTGCTGTCATCCAGGGCAGAGCAGGTAGTTTGTCTTTACGAATTACAACCTCGAGGCTACAGAGATGGCTCAGTGGTTAAGAGCACTGGCTGTTCTTCCAGAGGTTCTGAGCTCAATTCCCAGCAACCACATGGTGGCTTATAGTCATCCATAATGGAATCTAATACCCTCTTCTGGCATGCAGGTATACATACAGAGCACCTATAAATAAGTAAAGTTTTTAAAAAATAAAAAAATAAAAATAAAACCTCTCTTCCACACACACTTTGGTGTAACTTTGTATTTGTATTTATTTATACTCTTTTCACTGCACATTTTTTATGCCTTTCTCCTCCATTCTTTCTCAGGGAGCTAAATAAATATATGAATAAAGGTTAGCCAGTAGAAGTTATCCTTTCTGATGCTGAAAGGTTCTTAAACATTCCATTACAAAAATTTCTAAGGAAAAATATTCCATGTGCAGAACATTGCTGTCCTGTGAGGAAATTACTTGGAATAATAATATAAAATACAAGATTATTTGCTTTATCCATTTATTTATTTATTTATTTATTTATTTGTTTGTTTGTTTGTTTGTTTGGTTAGTTGGTTTCAAGACAGGGTTTCTCTGTAGCTTTAGAGTCTGTCCTGGAACTTGCTCTGTAGACCAGGTTGGCCTTGAACTCACAGAGATTCATCTGCCTCTGCCTCCCAAGGGCTGGGACTAAAGTCATGTGCTACCACCACTCGGCCTTATTTGCTTCATCTTTATTTATTTATTTTTTTGAGATAGGGTTTCATGCTGCCTTGGAACTCACTGTGTAGCCGAGAGTGATCTTGAACTACTGATCTTGCTTACTCTTCCTTCTCAGTGTTAGGATTATGGGTATGTATCACATGGCTGGTGTATATAGTGCTCAGGGTCAAGCCCAAAACGTCACTCATACTAGACAGTCTGCCAGCTAAACTATATTCCTAGTCCTCCCTTAATTTTAAACCTAGAAATGTGAATGTGAGACCTTCTTGGAATGACTAGGCTCTGAATTCTTTTTTTTTTTTTTTTTTAATTTAGGGTAGAAACAATCTTTTTTTTTTTTGGTTTTACGAGACAGGGTTTCTCTGTATTGTTTTGGAGGCTGTCAGTCCAGCCCGGCCTCGAACTCACAGAGATCCGCCTGCCTCTGCCTCCTGAGTGCTGGGATTAAAGGCGTGTGCCACCACCGCCCGGCTGGTTAGAAACAATCTTGTTTCACATGTCAATCCCAGCTCCCTCTCCCTCCCCTCCTCCCCTGCCCTCCCCACCAGGTCCCCTAGTCCGATCCCCAAGGAGGGTGAGGTCCTCCATGGTGGATCTCCAGTAACTGTCATTTCATCCAGGGCAGGGCCTAGGTCCTCCCCCAAGAGTCCCGTCTGAGAGAGTCTGAATTCTTTTAACATTAAAAAATATAAAAATCTCCAAAACTACAGAGAAACCCTGTCTCGACCCCCCCAAAAAAACATAAAAATATAAAAATGCTAAAAATAATAATTGGGTTTTAGATTATATAGAATACTTGTGGATAATACAGTTGATATAAATGAGTTGTAGAAATAACTTTACTTGTTTGGTTTTTTGAAACAGTGTTTCATTTTAGTCCAAGCTAACCTCAGGATAACTATGTGGGCAGGGATGAGCTGGAACTTCTAAATTATTAACGTGTAATCTTCCAGGTTTACAAGTTTGAACCACTACCACCTAGTTTTATGTGTTGCTTCATGGTTGCTAAGCAAGTATTGTACCAGCTGAGCTACATCCTTAGCCCTACTTAGAGTAACTCTTGGTGCTTCATATACAAGAAAGTAAGTTGAAGTATGTAAAGATAATCTACACTAGTGGTCATGGTGATATGTCTGTGATACTAGCAGTTGGGAGGTAGAGGCAAGGAATCAGGAGTTCAGGACCATCCTTGGCTATGTGATGATCTCCAGCCTAGCCTTGGCTACATGAGACCTTATCTCAAACAAAACAAAACATATAAATAAAATACAAACAGAAGTGAGTGGGCAAACTGATGGTCCATTAGGAAAGGTCTGTCAGAAAAGGAAGCCTGGTGTGGTAGTCATTTGATAATTACTGTGAGCTAGGTGTGGTGCATGTGCAATCCTACTTGAGATGGAAATAGAGGAGCAGTAGTTCAAGGCCAGCTTCAGCTGCAAGAGACCCTCTCTCAAGCAAAACCAAACAGGGCTGGCAGAATGATTCAGCAGGTAAAGGAGCTTGCCGCCAAGCCTGATGACCTGAGTTTGATCTCTGGGACTCGTGGTAGAAGGAGAGAATGGGCTCCCTAGTATTGTTCTCTGGCTTTCACACACACACCATGGTATACTCTCAGACTACCCCTTCCCAATAAACACATACTTGTTATTTAAAAAAAAATCAAAATAGTATGAGGAATGAAAGGGGAGGAAATGAATCATATTTGCTAAGACATGTATCAACAAGAATATTACCAAACAAGGAGAAAATGCTGCAGTCCCATAAATTGAAGGGTTTAGATTCTGGTTACTGCCATGCAAGATTAATTAGAATGGAAAGAAAAACTCAGGTTGTGAAAGCACTGGAACAGTTCCAGGTGAAGAAGAGACAGGTTAAATGACAGACTGAAGCATCTGTAGTGGATAGAAGGACTGTAACCAAAGCTAAAAGTGATGAGGGAAGAAAACGCATATTTATTACTCATTTGTTATATGTAAAGTCAGATCTCTACTTTCTGATACGTATGGAAGAGGTAATTTGTAACAAATGAAAGAAAATGTTTGTTTTATGCAGTGGCTCATAAAAGAAGATGCTCGCAATTCATTTCCCCAGTAGATAATAGGAGATTAAGCATGCCTAGCCTCAAAATGTTACAGTTGGTCGGGCGGTGGTGGTGGTGCACATTTTAATGATAGCACTAAGGAGGCAGAGGCCAGCCTGGTCTACAGAACAAATTCCAGGACAGGCTCCAAAGTTACACAGAGAAACCCTGTCTCAAAAAAACCCAAAAACCAAACCAAAACAAAAAGTCACACAGTTATGGATTATTATAGGAAATTAGAGTGCTTTGTAGTTCAGGACATCCCAGGCCTTTGAAGTTGCTGTGATAAGAATTTACAAGATGGATTCTCAAGCCATCTTTTACCTGTTCCTGCCCAAGGCACAGTATTGGGGCAAGATAAACAATCATTTTGTTTTTGTTGTAAATAGCTTGATGCGTTTTCTTGTGGAAAAGGCCTATCTTATTCTTCATAGCCCTGTTTCCATTAGTGGTCAGAAAAGGTTTTAGTGTATTTTGAGCTGGAGTTCTTTGAGAATGTCGAAAAATGAAGATCTGTGTTGTTTTCTTCCATTCAGACTTCAAAGTGGATTCCCTCTAGGCTGCTTTTACTGAAGTAAAAACCAAAGAATGCTAGTATGAAGCATGAATTCATTTTTAAGGTTTGTTTTCTTTTGAGGAAATGCTTTGTCATTCGTTATTTCCTTGGTAATCCAGAAATAAGGAACTGAAATTGGTTTATTTCCTCTTGCATTCTTCCTTAGGTCATGGAGAGACTTTGATGTTTTAGATAGAAGAGCCTGCTTGTAGATGGCTACCTGACATTAATTGATTTTCCCTCTTTCTCTTTTCTTCTTCCCTCTTCTCCTCCCCATCTGTAGCTTTTTAAGATGTTAGGGAGAGAACCAGTGCCTCCATACTCTGCCAACGAGGTGTCCTCTGCCCTTAAGATTTTGTTTTTGTTTTTCTGTATGTGTGTTTTGTTTTTAAAAGGAAGGCAGCAGACATAATGCCTATTTGTATTTGATTTTTGATGACTTTCATAAGGTAGCTCATAATTTTTTTGTTTTTTGTTTTCGAGACAGGGATTCTCTGTGTAACAGAACTGGCTATCCTGGAACTCACTCTGTAGACCAGCCTGGCCTTGAACTCACTGAAATCCACCTTCCTCTGCCTCCTGAGTGCTGGGACTAAGGTGTGCGCCACCACTGCCCAGCTAAAATTTTCAATGGTTGAACATAAAATCTATTATAAGAATTTCAGATTATATGTTTTTTTATGTTTCATCTTTGCATTGAAGATTTTGGTGGCTCTCATTTTGCTGCAACAAATGCTTCTGGAATTGACACAGCGCGGTCAAGAGCCCCTCAGTACCCTGCTGCAGTTTGGTGTGACGTATCTGGAGGACCATGCAGCCGAGTTCATCATTCAACAAGGTGGCTGGGTATGAACTACTTAGAATTATTTTTCTTTAAAATAATTACACCTGTTTTTAAAAGTTTTAAATATTTTTTATCTTACGGGGTTTATGGTTGTTCATGGTAGTCTGTGATGATATCTTGCTTGTATAAATAAAGCTTGTCTGAAGATCAGGGGATGTAGCTTGCCACTAGCTAACCATAGAGGTCAGGAGGTCTGTACAGACAGTCAGGAAGTGAGATGGCTGGCCGGAGAGAGGATATAAGCGGGAAGAAACAGGAGGTAAAGGTGGCCTTGGCTTGCTCCTTCTTCTCTCTGATCTCGAGTTTTCCTCTTTGACTCTGGGCTTTTATTATTTAGCTCAATTAAGAACTCCATTTACATTTTGGGGCCTTGGTTTGTACAACAAGATATCACCACAGTAGTCAAGTATTCTAGTGCTGAGCTGCATCCCTAGTCCATGCCTTTCATGTTTAAGTGTAGGTTTATGCTAGAGTGGACGACAAGCAGAAAAGCCGTTCATACAGTTTTAAGTTACTAGATTTTACTTAAATAAATTGATGTGCGGTACTTTTAAGTTTTCATGCTAACAAAATGTCAGAATAACTAAGTGCTGAAGAATAGTGAATACCCATGTGTGTGTATGTAGCCCCTGATAAAGAACACAGCTGATGCTTTAGGGGGATGGGATGAGAGTTGCTAGGGGTTGAAGTAGACTACGTGTACTCGGCAAGCTCTGAACCATTTGTCTACATCCCCAGCCCACACGGCTGCCATTTTGACTTTCCTTATAATCCTCTCTTGGGTTTTGATATGTTCCTAGTATCTATTACCTCTTAAGGGTAACAGATTTTCTGAACTTTGTTGTTGGTAAAGATTTGTTTATATATTATTTATACAGTGCTTTCTCTGCATGTTTGCCTGAATGCCAGAAGAGGGCATCAGATCTCATTATAGATGGTTGTGAGCTGCCATGTGGTTGCTGGGAATTGAACTCAGGACCTCTGGAAGATCAGTGCTGTTATGGTCAGAGCCATCTCTCCAGCCCCATTTTTGTTATTTTTTAAGTGTGTGTGTGTGTGTGTGTGTATGCTCGTGAGTGCAGGTACCCACAGGGGCTAGAGGTATTGGGTCCCTCTGGAGCTGGAGTTACAGGTAGTGTGAGCCATCTGATATGCTGGGAATTAAACTCTGATCTTCTGGAAGAGTAGTGCCTGCTTTTTGCCCCAGGGTTATCTCTCCAGCGAGTTTTTCTCAACTTTTAAAATCATAATTTACATGGGTGTACATAGTAATTATTTTGCCTAGTTTTTCTGTAACTTGCATGTTTCATTCAATATTATGGTCATTGGTTCTTAGTCTTTTTTCATTATCATTTCTGCAATGATCCTTTTTAGTCAGCTTTCTCCCTCCATGAAGAAAAAAAGTTTTGGCCAGGCGATGATGGGTCATGGCTTTAATCCCAGCACTCAGGAGGCAGAAGCCGGTGGATCTGTATGAATTCAAGGCCAGCCTGGTCTTCAAAGGGAGTTAGTTCCAGGACAGACTCCAAAGCTACACAGGAAAAAAAAAGTTTTCAAGCGCAGTTGGGGTTTATTAGAGAAGTTTACAGTCAAGCATAGTGGTATACACCTTTGATCCCAGCATGTAGGCGGGGTTTCTACAGAGTGTCACCAGAGCTACATAGCTACCCAGAGGAGCTCTGTTTCAAAAACCACACCAAAAAAAAGTTTTAGAGGCTAGAGATAGCTCAGCCTATGTAGTGCTTGCTATGCAAGTATGAAGGCCCAGATTTGACACCTAGAACCCAGCCAGCCGAAGCCAAATCAGCAAACTGTAAGTACCAGTGACAGACCCTATCTCAGAAAGCACGATGGACAGCTGTCCTGAGGATTAACACTGGAGGTTGACGTCTCTTGCCCACATATACACGCGCACCAGTGAGCACTTGAGTGTGACACAGAGGGAGAGGGAGACTGGGGGTATTTTTATATAAATTTAACGGAGAAAGTTACTGAGGAAAAGGTCAGTACATACCCAAGTGTGAAGATGCAGACTGCTCAAGAGAGAGTCATTAATTACCCTTACCAAATTATAATGTATTTATGTGCTGTGCCCTTTGAGATGTCCCCTGTCTCTGGAACAGTTTCGCCCTTGATGCTATCCACATTGAGTCTGATTTGGTTTTCATTGTGTAAATGGACCACAGTTTATTCACTTACAGCCTTTTTTATAAGAGAAAGTCATTTTTTTTTAAAGATTTGTTTATTTAGCCAGGCGTTGATGGCGCACGCCTTTAATCCCAGCACTTGGGAGGCAGAGGTAGGTGGATCTCTGTGAGTTCGAGACCAGCCTGGTCTACAAGAGCTAGTTCCAGGACAGCCTCCAAAGCCACAGAGAAACCCTGTCTCGAAAAACCAAAAAAAAAAAAAAAAGATTTGTTTATTCATGTATATAGTGTTCTGCCTGCATGTAACCCTGCACACCAGAAGAAGGCTCCAGATCTCATTACAGATGGTTGTGAGTCACCAAGTGGTTGCTGGAAATTGAACTCAGGACCTCTGGAAGAGCAGCCAATGCTCTTAACCTCTGAGCCATCTCTTCAGCCCCACTTACAGTCTTGTCAGTGGATATTGCTATTTTGCTTTAGAATCATTGCTGTTCTAAGCATTCTTCTTTTCTTTTTTCTTTGAGACAGGGTTTCTCTGTATAAAACAGCCCTGGTGGTCCTGGAACTCCCAGAAATCTGCCTACCTTTGCCTCCCGATTAAAGGTGTGTGTCACCACTGCCTGGCTAATTTTAAGCTTTTAATAAAGTTGCAAAAATAATGAATTCCCATGTAGTCTTTATCCAGGTTCCTCTATTATATTATCTTAGCGCTTCTATTGCTGTGATAAACACCATGACCCAAAACAACAGAAGCCAGGGCAGGAATTGAAGCAGAGGCCATGGAGGAAAGATGCTTACTCTCTGCGACTTGCTCAGCCTGCTTTCTTACATTGCTCAAGGCCACTGCCCAAGGGTGGCACCGTGCACAGTGGGCTGGGTCCTCCCACAGTAATCAAGAAAATGCCCTGCAAGCTTGCCTACAGGATAGTGTGATGGGGGCAGTTCTTCAGTGAGATCCTCCTCCCAGACATGGCTAGGTTTGTGTGCCACTGCCCGGCTTGAGAGTTCATGTCCTTAAAGCCCTGGGCAGCAAGGCTTGGCAGGTTAGCACAGTGCTCACAGGGTACGTAAGCTCCACAGAGCACCTAGAACATGGTTAGAAAAAATGGGGCTAAGATGGTTCTAGGTGGCTCAGGATGTAGTTTAAGGACAGAGTGATTGGCTTCCATCCCTAGTGCTGCAAAAGAAAGAGAGAAGGAAAAAATGTCCCTAAGATTAGGGAGGAAATCTCTTGTTTTCTTCATTTAATAGTACTTTGCCTTTAAAGATTTTATATTTGGCTTGAGAGTAAAGCATGCCTGTGCTCAGGAAGGATAATGTGTCTTCTAAATATTGTATGGCCTTGCCCTCTTGCCTCTTTAACTGGAAGAGTCAGATAATTAGCAGTACTCTGTTTGAACCGAGCCTTTATCTGATGGCTAGATAATACGTTAGAGTCAGGTTTCTGTTCTGAGATATTGATGGACTAACTGTGAGAGGGGTTGGAATGGAGGCAGGGAGTTGAACTGATTTCCCAAGAGAACTATGGTCTTTGTTAGACTGATAACAGTGAAGGCTAATATATTAGTTATGAGCTGACAAAATGATATCCAGACAGACATGACATTTTGCTTTCCATTTATTGGCATCTTCCCTTTTCTGTTTGGTGGTGCCAGGCATGAAACTCAGGACCTTTGTGAGTAGAAAAGCTGCCATTACTGTTCTGTATTCCACATCTGCAGTCTGCCCCCCTTTCTGTTTGGAGACAGGGGTCTCAAAAGACAAATGGCTGTTCTTAAACTCTTAATCCTCCTGCCTTAGCTCGTGGCTTTGGCACCACATCAGGCAAGATGATACTTTTTCATTTCCTGACTAGTTGATAGGCAGCCAGCAGTTCTTGCATTAGTTCTGTTGAGAGAAGAAGTGGTTGGGGGCCACCGAGATGGCTCAGCTGCTAAGGGCACTTGCTGTAAAGCCTGATGACTCGAGTTCAATCCCTAGAGCCCACATAGTGGAAGGAGAGAACTAATTCCAGCAGATTGTCCTCTGACCTCCACGCACATGCTGTGGTATGCATACCCAGTTAATAAATAAGTGTAAGCATTTTAAGGAAATAGCAGAAAATGTTCAGAGAAAGAAAAACTTGTATTTAGATACATTACAATACACTTAGAAACTGTGCCTGGTGTTTTAAATCTTTCATCCCAACACACGGGAGACAGAGCAGGCAGAGCTCTGTGAGTTCAAGGTTAGCCTGGTCTGCATAGCCAGTTCCAGGCCAGCCAGGGCTGCATTGTGAGACTGTCTCAAAGAAAAGAAAAAAAAAAAACATTTAGGTGGGAGGTGGTGCAATACCTATAATATTCAGGAGACTAAGATAGGAGGATAACAAGCTCAGGGCCAGCCTGGGCTATGTGTTCAAGGCCATTTCAGGCTAAGTATGGAATCTCTGTCTTAAAACAAAAACAGACAGAGCCAGACTTTGCGGCACAAGTCTGTGTTTCCAGCACTCAGGAGGTAGAGGAAGGAGGTCAGGAGTTCAGGGCCAGAGAGACAACAGGTGAAGGTGCTTACTGCCAGTGACCTGAACTTGCATGGTTCGGGGAGAGAGCTGACTCCTTACTCGAGCAGATTATCCTCTGACCTCACACTCACACATGCTCCCTGACACAAACTGTCCCCCAACACACAATTAAAAAAATGTAAAAACATTAGTTTTGTGGTGACGCACGCCTTTAATCCCAGCACTCAGGAGGCAGAGGCAGGCGGATCTCTGTGAGTTTGAGGCCAGCCAGGGTCACAGAGACACTGCCACAAATAAACAAATTCCTGCTTCATGTTTTGTTTGTTTATATGCGTATGTCTGTTTTGCCTACATATATGTTTGTGTATCGTGTGTGGTGTCGGATCTTCTGTAACTGTAGTTGGTTTTGGACTGCAATGTGGGTACTGGGAATCGGTCGACTCCTAGTGCTATGGAAGGGCAGCGAGTGCTCTAACCACTGACCCATCTTTCCATCCCTCTCAGCTACATACTGAATTCACAGCTGGTCTAGGCTACATGAGACCTTGTCTCAAAAGCAACAACAAAACAAAGGAGACACACTTAGGAATGCATTGAGATAGGTATGGTACTTAAGGGGCAGCAAGATGATAAAATGAGAGAGGAGAGAGTTGAGGTAGACTTGGTGCTCTCTCTCAGCATTTAGCCTTCTGGCTGCCCATAATTCCATGAGTTCTGCCACTGATGGTAGTTTTCTTGGTTTTAAAGGGCTTTTTGTAACATTCATTATTGATGAAGGTCAGAATTGTCACTTAGTTTTACATTACCGTCATGCTAATGGAGGCATAATGAGTTTGAAAGAGTTCCCACAGGAGTGGGTCTTCACCTGGGACAAGGATCCATGAATGGCACTAAGGGGAGACGTGTTCTGAAGTTAAGTGATAGATAGCGTTATTGGGTCTGGGGTGCATGTAGCTCTGGCCGAGTACACGCGTTGCCTCTGTGAGGCCCTGGGTTTCATACTCATCACAGCTAAAAAATTCTGTTTTTAGTACTGCAAAAATTATCACATTACAGATTTTCAGGAACTCGTTTATCCCGGGTTTCCTTAGGCTCAACCTAATTATAAGCAAACTGGGTGTTTGAATACCTGCATAGCAGTCTTGTTTAAGAAGAAAAGAGGAAATCTTTACAATTAACATAAATGCTTTTGGTGGTATACAACATTGTGAATATATTATAACCCATTGAGCAGTATACTTAAAATGATGACTGTTGTAAGCCACTATGACTCTGAATTTTTTAAAAAGAATTAAAAACTAGTGAGATGGCTCAGTGGGGAAAAGTATTTGCCGTCAAGCTTGATGACTTGAATTTGATCCCAGCCTGGTCTACAGAGTGAGTTCCAGGACATCCAGGACTGTTACACAGAGAAACCCAGTCTCAAAACAAAACAAAAACTATCCCTTTTAGCAAGGTATGGTGGCGCAGGTCTGTGATGTCAGCATTCAGGAGGCCAAAGCAGGACACTAAAGATTTTGACTGGGAGGAAAAGAAAGGGGTGCACATAATATAGTGTACAGAAAAATTCTTTCTTTAAAAGTTAAACAAAAACCCCAAAACATGTTTGAGGTGCAGGGAGAAGTCCGGGAAGAAGCGCACGGTTTTCAAAAAGAGGAAAAAGGAAAGTCCTCGGCATTTATCTGACGCGCGTGCTCTGTTCAGAAACTGTATTTACTCTAGAAACTTGATGTTAGACGAGAATTGTTCCCTAGGTTGGCACAGTTTTTTAATATTAACGAGTCTGTTTGTGGATTCTCCCTCTTCCTTTTTAGGGCACTGTCTTTAGTCTTGAGTCTGAGGAAGAAGAATACCCTGGAATTATCGCAGAAGATAGTAATGACATTTATATCCTGCCCAGTGACAACTCTGGACAAGTCAGTCCCCCAGAGTCCCCAACGGTGACAACATCTTGGCAGTCTGAGAGCCTACCTGTCTCCCTGTCTGCTAGCCAGAGTTGGCACACGGAGAGCCTCCCGGTGTCCCTTGGGCCTGAGTCCTGGCAGCAGATCGCCATGGACCCTGAAGAAGTGAAAAGCTTGGACAGCAGCGGGGCCGGGGAGAAGAGCGAGAACAACTCCTCCAACTCCGACATCGTGCACGTGGAGAAGGAGGAGGTGCCCGAGGAGGCGTGCCCGGGAGCCGCTGCTGCCCCGCTCCCACAGACCACTGCCAAGGAAGCCAGCCCCACTCCGTCTGTGTTTGTGGAGTTTGGTGAGGAGGAGCTGGAAGCAGCGGCAGTGAGACCTGTTGCCTTGGAGGGGGCGGAGCAGGCCGTCCCGCTGAGTGCCGAGGGGGCTGGGAGCAGGAGAGAGAGCCGCGCTGGGGAGCCCACCGCTGCCGGGGGCGCCAAGGGCGCCGTTGCCTCTGAGGGCAAGGCTGTACTGCTGTTCGGAGGGGCTGCTGCAGTGGCCATCCTGGCAGTGGCGGTTGGAGTTGCGTTGGCTCTGAGGAAGAAGTAGTAGCTTTTTCAGACGAGAAAGAAGACAAAAGGACCTACGGCTTTAGTTGTATTCACTGGAACATAGACTGCCAGCAGCCGAGTGGACATTTACAGGACACTGGGGAATTGGGCTTTCTATTCAGCGTGGCAGTGGCTTGAGATAGAGTGTTCACCTTGGCCTGCTGGTCATCCTGAGGGCCTTGGCTCCTGCTAGGTTCGTCAGGGTAAGAGTGAAGTCCCCATCTAGAACAGGCCTGTCGACTTGGGCACGCTAGACCTTCTCTGTGGGAGGCTGCCCTGTGCATTATGTGTTGGCTGGCAACATCTCTGACTTCTACCCCACTAGATGCCATTGTCACCCCGAAATGTCTCCTACATTGCCAAATGTCCTCTGTGGACAAAGCCATCCCTGTTGAGGGCCACTGCTTTAAGGGATAGGGTTCAGTTAAGAGAATCTGGGGGAGGACGCCACAGCTGGGGACAGTCAGCTCTTCATGCTGCTGCAGTTTCTCGTGAGGTGAACTTCTGTGCTGTCTGTCTGCAGCTGCTGTTTTTCTGGTTCCCCATTCTGTAGCGTGAGGTACTCTCCCACACTGCACCATCGCCCTGTACCCCTTTCACACCCAACAAAGCCCCAAGCTTCCCACGGCTCCATCCTTCAAAGATGCTGCCTTTAGGATCCTTTTAAAAGGTAAATACCCAGGCCAGGTTTGGTGGCACCATCCGTAATCCCAGTATTTAGGAAGTAGAGGCAAGGAGATTATCACAAGTTCGAAGCTAGCCTGGTGTAATACTGAGTTTGGAACCAGCCAGGACTGCATGGTGAAACCTTGTCTCGAGAAAAGATAACCACACTGAAGCTGTGTAGGAGACCTAGGGTTCCCTAGTCTGATTGCCAGTGCAGGTTACAGGCTGCAGTCATTGTTGGTTGAGGCAGGAAGGTGGTCTACACACCCTGTCAAGGTCGCTTGGGCCTCTTACAGGTGTAGCCAAACCCCCACGTGCCTATGACTTGTCAGTGACACCTCTGACGGCATGTGCACTGTCTGGAACCCTGGGCTAGTGCTTCCCAGTACCTGACCTCGGTCATTGGGACATCATCAACTTCTCTGTGGGTCTCTTGTCATGAAGGAACCAGTGTCATCCTTTGGCTTATAAAACAAGTTGGATCATAATCCTTATTCAATGTAAATCATTGAAATAAATGATAAAATTTTATCATTTAATATTAGGTATCACTTAATGAAAAGTGGGACAGAAACTTGAATTTAAGACCAAAACTGCTGCTATGGCACTGTTGGGTCCTCTGAATTCAAGAGGGGAGCTCTTGGTCTGAATCTCGTTTGCCCGATGCCAGGGGACAGACCAAGAGGATCCACACACTCACTCTAGCTAGTGGGACTCGGCAGGACCTTCTGTCACTTGGCTGATCCCATCCCTCAAGGAGGGGTGGAACCTGCCCCGCTCCTGCCTGCGGGCCACAGTGCCACCCGCAAGGCACACATGCTTGGTAAGAAGTCTTCTCAGATTTAACTTAGTCATGTAACATTACTTCTTAGATCCTGAAATTTATAATAAAATACTTTTAACTACTCTGATCACCAAGAGCTGATGTTTTAAATGTGCTTGATTTTTTTTTTAATTATTTTTTTAAGAAACTATCCCTAAAAAAGTACTTCAATGAGTCGATCAAGATGAGATTAGAGCATGTTAGTGTGTCCTGTCCATGTGTCCCACTGTGATGCCTTGTGAGTTTGTGTCCCACGTAGGGAGTGATGGTTATAAGGGCTTTAGTGTAGGTGGAGGTGATGGGAGTAGCTTTGTCAGTTCTCACAGGTGACATGGCCCTATATTCTGTCTCATGGGTCAGAGACTGGTGGGTCACCTTGATTTTTTTTTTTTTTTTTTTTTTAGATTTTTCTTCCAGTGTTAACCCTTTGCAACTTTGGGTTTTCACACCCACTGGTATAGCCCATTTAAGGGCTAACAGCCATGTTCAGGTGCGAGTGGCCAAGAAGGCAGGAACAGGGAAATGTGATACTGAGCTAATTGCTTGTTGCTGTATTTTACTCCCTGTGATCACTAGCCTAATTTGCCCAGGTGTATTTTTCTGGCTGATGGTAAGTAGGTAACTTCTCATTGGTTCTCTCCACACGGAATGTTATCCCCGGAGATAGGTGTGTGGTATTTCATTGCCCTGTGCTTGACAGTGGTATGGAGTAGCCACCACAAGGTGGTTCTGTCACCGCATTCCTAGGTTTGCCATTACTTTAAACAAATTAAATAGGCAGGCTCCCTATGTAGCCTAGGTTGGTCTTGAACTTGTAGTCCAGCCTCAGGACTGAGATTACAAGCATGTGTGTCACCACACCTGGTCTTGCTGTTACTTTACAATTAGTTGTCAAGTCCTTTTTCTTCTGGGGGACCGACACTCAGTGAAACGACTAATGCTTACTTAGCCAAAAGCCACAGAAACACCAAAACTAAAGAATGCCAACTTAATTTTATATACCGAGTGACAAATCTGAGTCCAGAGTGCCTTAGCAGGAGGGACTTGCATGATCATCACTGCCTTCTAGAAGATGGTCTAGATCAGCAGTTCTCAACCTGGGGCATGGAGACCCCTCGGGTGTGTGTGTGTGTGTGTGTGTGTGTGTGTGTGTGTGTGTGCGCGCGTGCGTGCGCCGAATATCAGCCTGCATATCAGGTATTTACAATTCATAGCAGTAGTAAAATTGCAGTTACGAAGTAGCAATGGGCATAATTTTATGGCTGGGGTCACCTCCCCACAACATGGAAGGTTGAGAAGCGCTGCTCTAGATCAGCGTGCTTGTTTGGCCCTGTTCATGTAAACCTCACCCAAAGCATCCTGGCCCCTCTCGCCTGGGTTCCAGTCTCTGCAGGGATCATTTGTCCTTGGGGGAGGGAAGTTCTCGGAGCCCTGCTCTTGAAACCGCAGCTGCCACTGTTCATCCTCGCCTCTGTGCGAAGTCCCCAGTCAGCAGTGCCTGCTCTGCATTGTGCTCCTAGGTGACATGTGGGCATTTGACATGTTAAGACTACTTTATAAGGACTACGCTTTCTAGCTAAGAAAAAAGTTCTTTATTTTAGGTCTTCATGAATTCTATGAGTTCTCTGCTCAGTAGTATACCAGCCCTGCCCCCCCCTTACACACACTCTCTCTGTCTCTGTCTCTGTCTCTCTCTCTCACACACACACACACACACACACACACACACTCACTCACTCTCAACACCAGTGCAGCACTGAGAACCTGCCTTTGTGAGGTGGCTGTGGTGTGCCTGGGTATTTTTTTTTTTTTTTTTTTTTTTTTTTTTTGGTTTTTCGAGACAGGGTTTCTCTGTGGCTTGTGCCTGGGTATTATACCTTCTAAGTGAGCTTTGTATAGGCCGTTGCCACTTTTGCTGCTATTAATTAAGCACTTAGGAATACATGCCAGAGGCTGGAGGACTTTCATACCTACGGCTCCTTCAGGCCCTAGGAGCCGCTCATACTTTACTGAGTAGGATTATACCCAGAACTCCTGGTTCATCTAGTCGCCTAGCTTATCAAAGGCAAGGCACTGAGTGAAAATTCTTGATTCCAGGCCACGTGGTTTTTCCTAGTGACCTTACTGGTTCTGGCGAGTCCCCATAAACAGTTGTGTTAGTTTATTGCACACAGCAGAGTAAGTGTAGCCTATGCTCACTTGTTTCTGTGGAGTACCATATAGGCTAGTCTACCTACTGAACTCATTGAGTACAGAAAACTAAGGAGTGTATACGCAGTGACTTCCGATTGCACTGTCCTCCCGTTAGCCCCTGGGTGAGATGCCTCAGGGCTACCCTATGGCAGTTGATTTTTCAGTAGTGTTCTTATTTAATGCCTTGTCTCCTTGCAATAAACAAGGTTAGGCCATCTGACACAGCTGCCATCACCAGACATGCACTGTGACAGGTGAAGGCAGCCACTTGACACATCTCTCCCTTTTGGCAGGTTTTTTGTTTATTAGACAGGATTTCTTAGTAGCTATGGAGCCAGTCCTGGAACTCATGCTGTAGACCAGGCTGGCCTGGAACTCAGCAGAGATCCCCCTGCCTCTGCCTCCCAAGTATTGGGGTTATAGGCATGTGCTACCACTCCCTGGATCCTTTTTGATCCCACTGGTCCTTTTCCCTTGTGGTGGCCATCAATAGTCCGGGTAGGCATATGGAGGGACATAGGGACACTTAGAGGATCTTGGATTGTTGGCACTCAGACTCAGGGATGACCAGATAGTCTTCCATCTTACTCATTTGACAAGAGTGCTTCCCAGTGAAATCCTGCCACAGAACAGACTCCACTCTGGTTTTACAGCTATGTAGCCTTTAAGTAGAGCTGCATGGAGAGCTAGAAGCTGTTGTTAAAGGTGAACACACTGTCTTCTTCACACAGCCCTCCCCCGAGCCCCAGCTTAGCTTGCCATGTCCGTTTGCCAGTTAGGGCCCTTCCCATGCCCATGTTTACACAAGGCCCAGCCCCTCAGCCGCTTCAGTATCGCTCAGGTCAGAACTGTCTCAGGGACACTCGCAAGGCCTCTGCCCAAGTCAGAGCAGCCAGCTCGGGATTCTCCTGTTCTCTAAGAGGGTTATTTTAGACACTGCTTCTGCAGACCTGTTCTTTGTGTCACAGAAGGACTGGTTACTGGACATATCCCTCCGGCAAACGTTTTTACATGAAAAGCTATGAATTTATCTGTGTGTGTGGATACATGCTACAGTGTGTGGGGGGAGGGGTCAGGGGACAACCTGTGAGGTCACTTCTCTCCTTTCACCGTGGGTCCCGACACCTAGTGGAAGGCACCTTTACTCGTGGGGCTTTCTTGCCAGCACGTTTTGTCAACTTGAGAGGACAGGCTTGTGGAGGCCTTCCCCACCCAGCAAGGTGAACTACATCTTCCCTTGGTGAGGTCTGAAATGGTCTGTCTGGTCCCTGTGTACATGGGTCATTTATTGGCCAGCATGGAAGGAAATTTTTTTTTCCCGAACCTATATTTTCCCTGCTTTTGTAATCTTTCTCCCTTCAGATTTAAAGTGCCTCTTTCTCATAGCTCCTTGGTTAAACTTTGTTACTGGTTCTAGTACCTTGTTGTCCCCCTCCCCAAAGTACTGGAATGGTAATTATTAACATAGCAGAGTCAGGCAGATATAGTTGTTGGCCCAGGGTGCATGAAGCTCTGGGTTCGATCCTAGCACCACGTTAACTGGGCATGCCATACATTACCTGTAATCCCAGCACTCAGTTGAAAGAAGGAAGATGATGTTCAAGGCCAAACTTGGGTAAGAGCTAAAGGTCAGCTTTTAATACATGGGCTCCTATTTTAAAAAATAAAATTAGCATCAGGCATGGTGGCTCACACCTTTAGTCGCAGCACTCGGGAGGTAAAGGCAGGCGGACCTCTGTGAGTTCAAGGCCAGCCTGGTCTACAGAGTTCCAGGACATTCAGAGCTGTCATACAGAGGAACCCAGTCTTGAAAAATAAAACACCAAAAATAAAAAAATGAAACAACCTATTGTAAGTGTTCGACTCAGGCAGCACTCATTTCCAGTGTGCCTGTCAGCCCTGACTGCAATTATCTGACTTGCTCTACTCATTATTGTGAATTGTTTTGGCTCCTTTCCCATCCTGTTGCCTACTTTGTGCCCAATCTGTTCTTTATGGGAAGTGACAAAAGTCTACAAACTGCCTTCAGTCAGAAGCAACGTCTTGGGGGAAGCACCCTGGAGGTGACAATAAAATGAGATTTTATGGTAACTGGTGACTCATCTGTTTGTCCACTATTCTTGACTTTGTAGTCTTCCATACTTAAAGTGCGTGCATGCTTTGTTTGCTGCTCAGTTCTGAAAGTGCAACCCTGGCATTCAAGCCCATGTCTCAGTTCCCGGTGAGTATAGCTAGTGAAGTTGCTGGAGCAAAGGCAGCCTTAGGAGTTGAGACCACACACACTTGTGTTTATGCTGGATCCCGAAGATCGGGTCAGAAGCCGTGTAACCTGATGCACTCCATCATCTGGGAGGTGTCGGTATGCAAGCATCCTTTAGAGAAGAAAGCCTTTATTCTGAAGAAACAAATTTCTATCACTTAAACCAATTCACATATTTTCAGAACAGAATGAAAAATATCTCTGAATTAAATCATCCCTCAATTGTACCCACACAAGGATCATATTTAAAGAAAAATTCACCCATTTCCATGACACACCAAACGGTCATGGCTGGGATGAATTAACCAATGGAACACTTCACAGCAGGTAGTGATGGCTCATGCCTGCAATCTCAGCATTAGGAGTTAGCAGGAGACTCACCCTGCATTTGAGGACACATAGTGAGGCCTTGTCTCTCAAACACAAAGCAAAGAAGGGACATTTGGCTTTGATACATGGAATCTTTCTAGAATGTTGGCCCGGGGAGAAAGAACACAATTTTGCTTTACCACCAGGGAAGTGTATGAGACGTGACTGGAAATCACCTCTGTGAACTTGACTAAGACGGTGGCCTGCTGTCTTAGATGCATGCACTGGGAGGTGGCAAAGCTGTTTGGGTTCCTGGCTGTTTTAGGCCTCTCTCCTATTCACTCTGGTTGGCTGCTACTACAGTTGTTCCTTGTGTAAAAGTGTTCCCTAGCAAGGGCCTGGTTGTAATGACTGACGTTGCAGACGAGTTGTGTGCACAACTGTTTGTTCCCACCGGGATGGAAATCTCCAGCAAACAGTCCCCTGAAACAGCTAAACCCTTGTGTAGGGGTGGGTGGGGAGGGTGGCCAGTGCTTCCCATGGTTTTGAGAACAGGATCGTAGTCTCAAACCTCATTGCCATTCCGCTTTTACACAGGAAGGCTGCGGCCTTCTGAGCACTGGGTGGAATTCTCCCTCTCAGGCCAGTGCAACCCTCCTAGCAGCTCTCAAACAGCTCTGCATGGTGAAGACAACGTCCCAGAGCTAACCTCTCATGAACAGTAACTTCACATTACAAGTAAGTTTGTCTGCCTTACAACCTGCTTTTATGTTTAATTTCCAAGTGGGAACCCGTATGGCTGATCAGAAAAGGTACAAGGTGTGGATGCAGGAGCTGGCACAAGCCCTTCAGATACACACGCGCTGGCATCTTCATTAGACTAGCTCAGGGTAGAAATTTTAAGTAAGTCACCAGCTCAAAATATTGTCCTGAAGATAGGGAGACAGCCATTATCTGGGAGCTGTCTTGACTCCGGCATGTGTTTACATGACCATGTTCCTTTGGAGGCAGCTTCTCTGGTCTTGCCATGTTGGGTCTCAGCCAGTCATGCTTCTGCAGGCCTCCAGGCCTCCTTCAGTCCAACCCCTGACGAGAGAGCAGTGGAGTCAGTCTCATTCCAGGAATCAGTGCTCCACAAATCTGCCTGTGATCGGCAAACTGCTTGCCAGGCACGCAGAGACCTGGGCTCAATCCCCAGCACCCCTGCCCACGTGTGGTGGGTGGTGCATGCTTAACCTCCCAGCACTCGGGAAGCTGAGGCAGGACGTTTGTCTTGCACTCCATGTCATCTCGAGACAGAGTGTGGACTCTGCTGTCTCCCAATAAACAACCTCCTCCCCAAAAAAGGGACTCCCGGGGAGTGTTTCTGACATGTTCTAAAATTCCAAACATTTGCAAATATTATTACAAGGCTAGACCTATCCATCTAGCTTCCACTTGTGTTTGTGGAAGTAGAGCACGAGACTTTTAAAGACACTCGGCCCTTTCTGAGCAGCAGGAAGACTGAGCTGGGGCTTAGCTTGGTGTAAGCACTCTTCCTGAGCGTGCACAAGGCCCTGGAGTTCACTCCCAGCACCACCAAAGTAAAAATGCATGGCTACCCTTGCAATGGACGTGTCTTCGGGTCACTTCAGGTAGCCTTCTCACACTCAATTATCCCTATTAGCTTCTCTCCGTCACCCTTGGGACACACACTTTTAAAGAATTTAAACTACGGCCAGTGAGACGGCTCAGTGGGTAAAGGTGTATCACCAAGCCTGACGACTGAGTCCAATTCCTGGGACCCACACAGTGGGAGAGAACTGTGCCCCCACACAAAAATATATACACACAAATTACTGTAGTAACTTTTTGATTAATTCTGTTATGCCTGGGGCTGTGGAGATGGCCCAGTGAGCTGCTATGCAGGCATGAAGAGCCGAGGCAGATTGCTAGCACTCGTGTGAAAACCAGACCTGGAGGCTGGAGAGATGGATCAGTCCTTAAGGGCACTGGCTGCTCTTCCAGAGGACTCTAGCTTAATTCCCAGCGCTGACATCGTAGCTCACAACCAGCTGCAACTCCAGTCCTAGAGGATCCAACACCCTCTTCTGGCCTCTGCAGGCATCAGACACACACACACACACACACACACACACACACACACACACACACACACGAGGTAGGGAAGCCAGACACACACACACACACACACACACACACACACACACGAGGTAGGGAAGCCCAGCGCTTGCTGGTCAGCTAGTTTAGCCTAAATGACAAACTTCAGCTTCACTGAGACCCTACCTCAGAAAGACAGAACAAGAAGACACCTGATAATGACCTCTGGCTTCCATACGCACCCCACACGTGCTCACACACACACACACATACTTAAGCTTAGGTCTGTGACAGTACAGAGTAGCCCAAGGGAGCTGGGTCCTTGGCCATCATTCTCCTCACTCCACGTCTCCCCACTCTGCCTGGGTCCCACCAGGGTGTGAAACAGTCTTTGCCTCTCATCTGAACACAGCCTGTGGTCAGTAAGAAGGGAGATGGTGTGTGTGTGTGTGTGTGTGTGTGTGTGTGTGAGAGAGAGAGAGAGAGAGAGAGAGAGACAGACAGACAGACAGAGAGAGACAGAGACAGAGAGAGAGAGAGACTCTGTCCAGTCAAGAGAATAGGGTAGGCAAGCAGGCAGGGACCATGGGCCTCCACGAGAAGCCAGGGGCTGATGTCACTGGTCCTTACATTTCTAAGTAAGTTCCTCACATAGGTGAGTAAATTCTGGTTAATAAAGTTCACTGTCGTTTGGAAGACATCACGGAGCAGGGACGGCTCATGACTGGCCACGCTTTTGGCCAGCAACAAGGTCATTATCAACATGGCCTTTTCATTCTCCATGTCTCTAGGGAAGGCCGCCTTCACCTCATCGAGGGCTTTGGCCAGGCAGTTCCGTCTGTCCTGCAGTGAGAAAAGACAGTTTACTGATGCTCATCCCTCAGAGGGACTGAACCATACAAAGGAGAGAAAGAAGCCTTTGAGAGGGAGTGGTCATTACACAGCTAAGAGCGTCGGGCAGAGGGAATGGTGGAGAGGGCATTGGGGCACTCACCCACCCATGGTGTTTACCGAGCAGCCTGTGCACACCACGGAGTCCTCCCTGCAGTCTTTACAGAACCGGCTGTGCAGGAGGATGTCTGGGGCTCATCTTACTGGTGTGCCTGGCTTTAGGGACTACGCCATGTTTGCTTAAGTGGGAAAGGCAGACACTAGACCACGAGACCTGGAGAGTGGCTTAGAGGCTAAGAGCATGCACTGCTCTTTAGAGGACCCAATTCAGTTCTCAGCAGTCATGTCACGATGAGCTCACGATGGCCTGTAACTCCGGCTCTAGAGGACCTGCTGTCTCTGCATGCATCTGCAAGCATGTGCATGCACTCACACACAAGGAGCACAGGGACGTGTAATTAACTTTAAATGTTTTCAGAAAGGGGACGGAGCAGTGGTGGCACACATCTTTAATCCCAGCACTTGGGAGGCAGAGGCAGGTGGATCTCTGTGAGTTTGAGGCCAGCCTGGTCTACAGAGCGAGTTCCAGAACAGCCTCCAAAACAATACAGAGAAACCCTGTCTCGAAACACAAGGGATGGGGAGTTGTAGGAGGAAGCCTGTATGCCGCCATTAACCATGTGACTTACTAAAGGCGCATACAGATGAGGTAATAAAAGAGCGGTTTACCACACCGCTAACCACACCCACTTTAGGCATGACTAAAGACGTATCGGACATAAAGACGTATATGTACGTAGGCAGTGAACTATGTCACTAGCCAGGCCTACTTTTGGGCATGGCTAGGGGGCGTTACAGGGGAAGGCATAAAAGACAGCACAAAGGAAATCTTGGTCTTTTTTCCCGGATTTCGGCTTCCGGTTCAGCAGCGGAAAACTACTTGGCTCATCTGGGTTACTTGTTTGGTATCTTGTGAGTAATTTCTACAATAAATACTCAGTTTTACTTTCAGTAAGTGTGCCGTTTATCATTACAGCGTCATTTGGAGCTTCAGGGAGTAGAGATCTTCAGGTTCTGTGACTCACATTCAAAATCTCCCCCATGGGAAGAGTCCCAAGGCTGTTCACTGACTGATGTGTCTATGTCCTATGACAGCGGCAGGAGAATAGGAGGGAGGGAGGGGGAGGGAGGGAGGGAGGGAGGAAGGGAGAGAGAGACAGACAGAGAGATAGAGATAGAGAGAGAGCCAACAAAATGACAGGTTGGTGTTCTCTCTCTCCCCCTTCAGGAAGGACACAGTACTGAAGAACAAGCTTTGGTGGGGTCTTGTCAGCTTCTACATGCTGATACAATTGCAAAGCCAAGCAGAGGAGGTAGGTACACTGCCGCCCTGGGTAAAAGGACATCAAGGTCTCTACTGGCGTCGTCACCTGACTCTCCAAAGTGAAGACCAAGCCTTTCCTGTAAGGACCAGGCTCTTTGATCCTCTAAGTTCTGGACTCTGACTTACCGGATCCTACGTCTCAACCAACTGAACTCTTGCATGCTGGTGGCGGTCAAGGACAGGACAGGACTCACTTCCTGAGAGAGACTGGCTCTATAAAGGGAAACGTCCCCACACATCCCAAGTGTCCTTGAAGAGGAGCAAGAGGGCCAGAGTCACATACTTACTTCCTCCGACAGGCTGACGTTCATGAACTGGGCTGCCAGTTGTCTCACCAGTGTGGGTTGGATGCTGTGGTCCAACTCATCGCCCACTTGAACGAGCTGATGGGCAATTCTTTGGATGATATCTTCCTGGCTTTCAGAATCTGAACATTCGGGCAGCAAACACAAACAAGACTCAGCAATGATCCCGGTCAACAGCTTCCTTCATGCCACTTCCTGCTGCCACACGTGCCCGGGTGGGGACTAACCGCAGATGGCCCTGAGTCCAGGGAAGGCCTGAGGCTGGCTGGAGAAGCAGGCCTGTTTGCTGCTGCCGGGCAAAGGCCCAGAGCTGCAGCATCCCTGAGGGCACCGCTGGGATGAGCCTGGGTCCAGCCTGGCACTAGGGAAGGGACTGTGTAGTCAGCGGCATCTCGTCCCAACTCTGCTGCCCGTGCCCAGAGTAAGCATCCTTTACCTCCCTCCTCATAGGGCGAGTGCAGCTTCCCAGGCTTCTCACCTGTAAACACCCAGGGCTACCGTGTGTCCACACACCGCCAACCGGGACTGTCCTGCCTGCCCTGTCTCCCCTCATGCTGCCCCTTCTGTGGTTTCTGATGCTGCCCTGCCTCCCCACTGCCTGGCCCTACTGTGTGGTCTCTGTCCCAGTCTGCCTCCCCACTGCCTGGCCCTACTGTGTGGTCTCTGTCCCAGTCTGCCTCTCCACTGCCTGGCCCTACTGTGTGGTCTCTGTCCCAGTCTGCTCCCCTTTCTTTCTTTTTGCACTTTTATCTACGTCTGTTGTCTAACACAGCTGCTTAAACGTAAGCTTCTGAAAAACTGTAATTCTGTTTAATTTATTTATGTGTATGAGTATCTTGCCTGCATGTATGTCTGTGTACCGACTATGTTCCTGGTATCCACTGAGGTTAGAAGAGGGGACTGAATCCCCTGGAACTAGGGTTGTGAGCTACCATATGCATGGAGGAATTGAACCTGAGTCCTCAGCAAAGTAACATTTTTTTTTTGAGACAGGGTTTCTCTGAGACTTTAGAGGCTGTCCTAGAACTAGCTTTTGGACCAGGTTGGTCTCGAACTCACAGAGATCCACCTGCCTCTGCCTCCCGAGTGCTGGGATTAAAGGCATGTGCCACCAACACCCAGCTGAGTGTTCTTAATCACAATCTGTCTCTCTAGCTCTTGAAAAACTAATTTTAAAATCTTTTGGTTTACTGTCAGATACCTGACACTTAAGAACAATGCATGAGTGGCATAGTTGGTGCCCAGTAAGTAATTTCGGGAATAAGCGGATGAATGAATCACAAACTTGTATGCAGCTTCTAAAAGGTGCTCAGGAAATATCACTGTAGCCTTGTTTGGACCCCTGTGGCTTCCCACTTATCCTGACAGGGACGAGCTCCTTCCCCCAGTCAGCTGTCCAACCGGACCTCACGAGGCAGGCTCACCCTGCATCTCAGAAGCAGGAAGAGGCTACAGTGAGCTGCGTTCTAAGAGGACTCACTCTAAGGAAGTGGCGAGAGGTCCACGGCACTCAATGGGAGTGAGGGACAGATGGCTTCCGTCTGTCCTGTGCTCTCACTTGTGTCCCTGCTGCTCCCACAGGGGAGCGGCTCGAGCACTTAGTGCACCGATGCCTGCCCTCACTCAGTCCCCGCATGCCATACAACCACCACACCGCGCTCCTCGAGGCTCTCCAGGGTCTGCTCACTTCTGCTGGAGTGACGTGTCACTACTTGGCTTCTGGCTCCCCGAGAGTTAATGTCACCTCTCCTCCTACTCGATCACTTGCTGAAGCTTCTACTCTGCCCTTCTTCCAAGTCTATCAGAGACCAGACTATCAAAGCCTCAGTGAGATCAAGTGTCAGCCCCTCGTCACTGTCACTGACTCCCTGTGAGTTTAGCCAGGCTCTGACGTCAGAATGCATGGACTGAGGGTTACACAGCAAGTTTCAGGCTAGCCAGGGTAACATAGTGAGGGGGGTGGGGCCGGGGCCAGGGAAGAGGCTGAAGCAGTTGCTAGTCTCCCTCACAACCACTCAAGGGCAGCACAGCCTCTGTGCCCAAGATGCCACGGTCAGGGAAGCTGGGCTTAGCAACGGTACTAAGTCTAGCTTGAGGGGTTGGCTATCTTTTGTTTGCTTGATTGCTAGAGGCAAGCCCCAGGGCCGTAGAAAGGACAGGCACTCTCTACCTCTAACCTACACCCCCAGCCCCTGGCCTGCAGGGTTGGAAGACCTCCGTCTTGGGCTTGGAGGTCCTGGAGGCCTACAGAGCAGTGATTCCAACCAAGATCAAAAATCAACTGAGGGTCAGTGAGTTGGCTCAGAGGCGCTTGCTGCCAAGCCTGACAACCTGAGTTCGACCCCCTGGGGGTAGGGGTGTCACACATGGTGGAAGAAGGAACCAACTCTGACTGGGGGTACGCTAGGGCATGTGCATACTCCCATGCCTAGACAGACACGAATTAAAAGAAAAATCACCCAGCAGTCTCTAGCCCAGGAACACACTATTGAGCAGAGCCCCAGGCCTGCGCATTTTGAAGAATGTCTCACATCATGCCACAGTGCACACTACCCACAAGTGCCCGAGCAAGTGTCACATCCCAGCCTTTAGGAAAGTCTCCTCCCCCTACTGCAAACACAGTACCAAATAGAGAGAAGTTTTGTTTGTTTGTTTGTTTGTTTTTTCGAGACAGGGTTTCTCTGTGGCTTTGGAGGCTGTCCTGGAACTAGCTCTTGTAGACCAGGCTGGCCTCGAACTCACAGAGATCCGCCTGCCTCTGCCTCCCAAGTGCTGGGATTAAAGGTGTGTGCCACCAACGCCCGGCTCCAAATAGAGAGAAGTTAAAACAGACTGGAAAGAGAGCCCAGGGCAGGGCAGGGAAAGACAAAGTCTAGCTGGGAGAAAGACACAGGTCAGCAGGGGGCAACAGCTTGGCTGAGTCCTGCTCCTGCAGCCTGGGCAGTTAGATCTGAGGCTAGTCATCTCCCTTTGCTGTGCCTCAGTTTCCTTATCCGGAAATGAGGGTCAGAATTCTTCAGTGCTCTGGTTATCTCTTAAGGTAATAGCAAGTCGCATATGTTAGGGTTCCATAACGGGTGCAGAAATGGCCACCGTAAAGGCAGGAGTTTTCACTGGCTCGAGAGTTCAACTAGCCCACAGCAAAAGGTGCTTGGGGCTGGGTTAGGGTGACTCGGGGGCTGGGACAGCAATATCCCAGGCCTCCCAGATACGAACGGCAGCAGGAATGACTCTGCAGGTCTTTGAAATTCCCAACCCGAAGCTAGTGCCACCTGTGGGTTATAAAGTTCCCCCCAGGCTGGAGAGATGGCTCAGAGGTTAAGAGCACTAGTAGCTCTTCCAGAGGTCAAGAGTTCACTTCCCAGCAACAACATGATGGCTCACAACCTTCTATAATGACATCTGGTGCCCTCTTCTGGTGTACAGGCAAAACATGCAGGTAGAACACTGTAAACATAATAAAGTCCCCACCAGCTTCCTCCTGGCATCACTGTAGCTGCTTGGGACCTATGGTAAAAACACATTCCATTATTGGTCCAGAGAGATTTGGGTCCAGACCTGAAGAGAACGCAGGGCTCATGAGAAGGAGGAACTTCCTAATTAGTCCCAAAACAGGGGACAATGATTTGGATGTGACCAGATGAAATCAAGCACCAATCACAAGACAAGTCACATGACACGCACACATGTAAGGACCTGACAATGCAGGGTTAGAGACTGAGCCCCAAAGACCCCTGTAACTTTTGGGGGGCAGTGAAGGCGACACGGCCAGGGCCTACCTGGCTGTATTCTTCCATGGTAGGAGCGGCTGGCCCGGCTGCCGTCGGTTTGCAGCTCGTCCTCGAGGTCTGCATCCAGGTACACCGGCACGGGCAGCTCCTGGCCCAGGGCCTCCAGTTCTCTGTGGAAACTATACTTGGAGCTTTGGAGGAAGCCGAACACCAGCAGGTCTGTGAAGTGCTCAGCATCCAGGCCCAAGCCGTTGCTGACCTAGGATGAAAAGGGAGTTGGGAGGGCTCACGGAAGCTGCACCTGAGGCTCACTGCCGGTAAGAACCAATAACTCTGAGGGTCCAGCAGCTCTAGTAAGAGGCTGATGGTGGAGGCATATTCTACAGCACCGTCTCCACCTAACGTCACCGTAGACACCAAGCGGTGACCCAGCCACCTTCTCCAGAACGCCTGAAAACACCCTGCGGAGGAAGCCACTTCGAGGGTAAGGCCAGTGCACGTCTCAGGAAAGCAGACAGATGCCTTCATTTCAATGCCATCCCAGGAAAGCAGACAGATGCCTTCATTTCAATGCCATCCCAGGAAAGCAGACAGATGCCTTCATTTCAATGCCATCCCAGGAAAGCAGACAGATGTCTTCATTTCAATGCCATCCCAGGAAAGCAGACAGATGCCTTCATTTCAATGCCATCCCAGGAAAGCAGACAGATGCCTTCATTTCAATGCCATCCCAGGAAAGCAGACAGATGCCTTCATTTCAATGCCATCCCAGGAAAGCAGACAGATGCCTTCATTTCAATGCCATCCCAGGAAAGCAGACAGATGCCTTCATTTCAATGCCATCCGTGTGCACATACAGAGCTGAACCTGACTGAACTGCTCCTCCATCACTCCCTTCAGGAGCCCAGGGCGGTCCTGGCGGGCAGGGGATGCTCCATGAACACTGGGGAATGCTGACCCAGGTCAGACTCTGCTTCCCCGCCCCAGCCTGCTCCACTTCAGGGGGATGTGTGTATAATCAGAACCCCTGGAGCATGGGGGTCTTGCTCACAGGCCTCTGTGCGCCTCACTGCAGACCTATAGTGCATCCAAAAGCAGCACCTGGGAGCAGCACTGGGGAGCAGCACTAGGGAGCAGCACTGGGGAGGAGCACTGGGGAGGAGCACTAGGGAGCAGCACCCGGGAGGAGCACTAGGGAGCAGCACCCGGGAGGAGCACCGGGGAGGAGCACTGGGGAGCAGCACTGGGGAGGAGCTCTCAGATAGCAGTGCTTGTACCATGAGGCCCTGCGGTACAAGAAAGCTTAGAAATGACATTTGAGGTTACTTAACGTCTCTCAATTGTGGACTTAACAGATGTAATAAATGCTAACTTTATGTTATTTTACCATAAAAAGCTAGAATAAAAAATTCAGAAAGTCAGAAACATTCCAAGAAAATACAAGTTCCAATGGGGGTGGGGTCAAATGCCCAGACAAGGAGAAAATGTCAACATTTCACTGTGGCCTCAACCCTGTGGGCAAGCTACCTAACTTCTGTGCCTCAGTTTCCCTGCCCAAAGGTAAAAAGGAATGGACAGCAGCTGGAGAAATTTCACCTGCTCTTGTCCCGGGGAGTAGGACCGCAGGAGAGGGTCACTGTCTAGGGGCCCTGCAGGACAGCAGGAGGCAACAGCCCTGACGGGCAGACTATGGCTGACTGGAAGGGAGACTTCGGGAGGCTCAGAGGCCACTACTGCCCACAGCCAGTCCAGCCCCTCACTGGGGCAGGTGGGAGCCCAGATCTTTTCTGTTCAGACAACTAGCCTCTGTGCTGCCCCTGCACGTCTACCGGGCTGACAGTTACGCCAGTCCATCCTTCTGGAAGGTCATTCTCCATTCCACACCAATCCCGAGCAGGTGCCAATGGAGACCAGTCCTGTTGGGTACCTGAGCTGCATCTCTGCAGACCTGTCAAATGAGGGATCGGGCTGCATCATTAACTGGGACATCCAGGAAGAACAAAATGAAAAGATGTCAGAATCTAACCTGAGAGTCCATGGTACGAGCTAAGCAGCTCCAGCCACCTCTGGCTCAGAGTCCAGGAAACAACCTGAAAGAGGACACAAAGACGGTGTAGGTGGCTGTTCCCTGAAGCAATGGCCCTGGGGGCCCATCAGGACGCTCCTGTACCCACAGCTGAGGTCACGCCACCCGCCACCGCTGGCTCTCAGCTGGGCTCCTTTATTTGCTTCCACACAGAACCAGAGCAGCAATCTGGTCAGTCAGGCCTGCAGTCTTCCTCACAGCCTCAGCCGGCACTCCACTGGGCACTCCCAAACCAGTTCCCTGGAATTCAGCCTTGCTTCCCACACTCAGGAGACTGATCAGGCCAACCAGCGCCCCCACACGAGTTCCCACAGCTAATCCTCACACTAGTTAGTGAGTTTCCCAGCTAGTCACAGACGATCACAGGTCATTTACATGACAGGATCAGGGCCTTTCAACACCACCAACCCATTTCCTCTTTCCACCTGCACAATGAGGCCGAGCAGACAGCGCATCCCGATTTAATGGAGAGAAAATACAGTTTGGAGGATCATTCTGACTTGGTAAGACAGCTTGGCTGTTAAAAGGTGGCTGTCTCCCAAGCCTCTGACCCACCACACACTGACTGGACCAAAGCCACGTAAGAACTGAATTTAAAAAGTATGTCTAGCCGGGAAGTGGTGGTGCACACCTTTAGTCCCAGCACTCGGAAGGCAGAGGCAGGAGGATCTATGAGTTTGAGGCCAGCTGGGTCTACAGAGCGAGTCCTAGGACAGCCAGGGCTATATAGAGGAACCCTGTCTTGAAAAACAAAACCCAAACAAAAAAAAAGGGAAAAAAGAAAGGGAAGAAAAAAGAGAGAGAGAGAGAGAGAGAGAGAGAGAGAGAGAGAGAGAGAAAGAGGGAGGAAAGAAAAGGGAAAAAGGAGTATGTGCAGGCAGACCAGTGGCTTTGTCCAGTGAGGAGGTTCCTGTGACTAGGTGCTCTGATGTCCAGTGAGGAGGTTCCTGTGACTAGGTGTTGTGATGTAAGGTGAGGAGGTTCCTGTGACTAGGTGTTCTGATGTCCAGTGAGGAGGTTCCTGTGACTAGGTGTTGTGATGTCAGGTGAGGAGGTTCCTGTGACTAGGTGTTGTGATGTCCAGTGAGGAGGTTCCTGTGACTAGGTGCTCTGATGTCCAGTGAGGAGGTTCCTGTGACTAGGTGTTGTGATGTCCAGTGAGGAGGTTCCTGTGACTAGGTGTTGTGATGTCCAGTGAGGAGGTTCCTGTGACTAGGTGTTGTGATGTCCAGTGAGGAGGTTCCTGTGACTAGGTGTTGTGATGTCCGGTGAGGAGGTTCCTGTGACTAGGTGTTGTGATGTCCAGTGAGGAGGTTCCTGTGACTAGGTGTTGTGATGTCCGGTGAGGAGGTTCCTGTGACTAGGTGTTGTGATGTCCGGTGAGGAGGTTCCTGTGACTAGGTGTTGTGATGTCCAGTGAGGAGGTTCCTGTGACTAGGTGTTGTGATGTCCAGTGAGGTTCCTGTGACTAGGTGTTGTGATGTCCAGTGAGGAGGTTCCTGTGACTAGGTGCTCTGATGTCCAGTGAGGAGGTTCCTGTGACTAGGTGTTGTGATGTCAGGTGAGGAGGTTCCTGTGACTAGGTGTTGTGATGTCCAGTGAGGAGGTTCCTGTGACTAGGTGCTCTGATGTCCAGTGAGGAGGTTCCTGTGACTAGGTGTTGTGATGTCCAGTGAGGAGGTTCCTGTGACTAGGTGTTGTGATGTCCAGTGAGGAGGTTCCTGTGACTAGGTGTTGTGATGTCCGGTGAGGAGGTTCCTGTGACTAGGTGTTGTGATGTCCAGTGAGGAGGTTCCTGTGACTAGGTGTTGTGATGTCCGGTGAGGAGGTTCCTGTGACTAGGTGTTGTGATGTCCGGTGAGGAGGTTCCTGTGACTAGGTGTTGTGATGTCCGGTGAGGAGGTTCCTGTGACTAGGTGTTGTGATGTCCAGTGAGGAGGTTCCTGTGACTAGGTGTTGTGATGTCCAGTGAGGAGGTTCCTGTGACTAGGTGTTGTGATGTCCAGTGAGGAGGTTCCTGTGACTAGGTGTTGTGATGTCCAGTGAGGTTCCTGTGACTAGGTGTTGTGATGTCCAGTGAGGAGGTTCCTGTGACTAGGTGCTCTGATGTCCAGTGAGGAGGTTCCTGTGACTAGGTGTTGTGATGTCCAGTGAGGAGGTTCCTGTGACTAGGTGCTCTGATGTCCAGTGAGGAGGTTCCTGTGACTAGGTGTTGTGATGTCCAGTGAGGAGGTTCCTGTGACTAGGTGCTCTGATGTCCAGTGAGGAGGTTCCTGTGACTAGGTGTTGTGATGTAAGGTGAGGAGGTTCCTGTGACTAGGTGTTGTGATGTCCAGTGAGGAGGTTCCTGTGACTAGGTGTTGTGATGTCCAGTGAGGAGGTTCCTGTGACTAGGTGTTGTGATGTCCAGTGAGGAGGTTCCTGTGACTAGGTGTTGTGATGTCAGGTGAGGAGGTTCCTGTGACTAGGTGTTGTGATGTCCAGTGAGGAGGTTCCTGTGACTAGGTGCTCTGATGTCCAGTGAGGAGGTTCCTGTGACTAGGTGTTGTGATGTCAGGTGAGGAGGTTCCTGTGACTAGGTGTTGTGATGTCCAGTGAGGAGGTTCCTGTGACTAGGTGTTGTGATGTCCGGTGAGGAGGTTCCTGTGACTAGGTGCTCTGATGTCCAGTGAGGAGGTTCCTGTGACTAGGTGTTGTGATGTCCAGTGAGGAGGTTCCTGTGACTAGGTGTTGTGATGTCCAGTGAGGAGGTTCCTGTGACTAGGTGTTGTGATGTCCAGTGAGGAGGTTCCTGTGACTAGGTGTTGTGATGTCCAGTGAGGAGGTTCCTGTGACTAGGTGTTGTGATGTCCAGTGAGGAGGTTCCTGTGACTAGGTGTTGTGATGTCCAGTGAGGAGGTTCCTGTGACTAGGTGTTCTGATGTCAGGTGAGGAGGTTCCTGTGACTAGATGTTCTGATGCGTTTTGCAGTTTGCACTTTCATCACCTTCATTATCAGGTTAAGACGCAAATCACTGTGAAGACTCTGACCAGCAAGACTGTCACCCTAGGGGTGGAGCCCACTGATACCACAGAGAATATGAAGGCCAAGGTCCAGGGTAAGGAAGGAGCTTCACCCCCAACACACCCCCACTGCCAGCAGAGGCCCATCTCTGCAGGCAAGCACCGGACCATACTCTCTGATCCAGAAAGAGTCAAGACTGCACCTGGTCTTCCATTTGAGGGGTGGCTGGTACTTCTTCAGCCTGAATTTCCATTACTCTACGCTAAAGCCATCTGCCCCAACTTAAGTTTAGAAATTAAGAGTTTCATAAAAGTCAGGTGTGCTAGTGCATTTAATTCAAGCATTTGGGAGGCAAAGACAGGTAGATCCCTAAGTTCCAGGCCAACCTGGTCTACAGCCAAGGCTACACACAGAAACCCTGTCTGAAAACACACACACACACACACACACACACACACAGCCAAAGTTTCAACAGTAGCTGAATCTCTGTTTAAAATGTTAATAAAGGTTTTGGTGCATGGTTAATAAAAGAAAAAGTATGTCCATTCACTGTATGCACTACTACTGAGAATGTAAATTAGTAGGACTACTATGGAAAGTAGTGTGAAGGTTTCGCAACCAGCTAAATCCAGGGGCGGGCCAGATGTGCTTGACAGTAGGCCAGCTGATCTGAGTTTCAGCCTGGAAGGGTGTGAAAGGTCGGAGCAGAGCCGATTCCAGGTTCCTCTGACCTCCACCACACACACACACCAAAAAACAACAAATGTACTTAAAAACCCGCCTTGTTTGGCATTTCCCATTACACCCAGAAGTACTGGACACAGTGGGAAAACACTCTGTAAGCAGCTCATGGTGGCCGCGGCTGTCAATCACTGAACAGCAGAGGCCACTTCCTCCAGAAGCCACCAGGTGGAGTCTTGAGCAGGAGAGCTGTCTCTGGGTCAGATGTGTCTGGAGTAAGAGACTACTGCTAACATGGGTCTACTCAGACGCCACCTCACTTTCCTGGGACCCCAAGTTTCTCTTGCACCATGGAAGCCAAATGTCCTGAAGTAGCTGAACACCCTCACGAAAGCCCTCCTTCCGCACACCCAAAGTGCAGACGCAGGCCACACCAGAAGGGAGACGGCAAGGCTGGTAAGTGCAGTTACATACAAAGCTGGGAGTCCTTGGGCGTGTGTGCGTGTGCGTGCGTGTGAGTGTGTGTGTGGCTGAAGTTTATCTGCACAACTAATGAACAGAAATGTGATAACACCACAGAGGAAGTCACGTCCTACGGTAAACACCCACTCAGCCACTCACCACGTGTCCACGGTGCCAGGGGCAAGGAAAGCAGAACACAGAATGCCACCAAGACAAGATCTATTTAGGGCTGACGAACGCCCAAGAAATGACCAGAAAAACAACAGGTTTTCCATCTTGTTAAAAAAAAAAATTAAATTTTAGCGGGGCGGTGGTGGCACACGCCTTTAATCCCAGCACTCGGGAGGCAGAGGCAGGCGGATCTCTGTGAGTTCGAGACCAGCCTGGTCTACAGAGTGAGTTCCAGGATAGCCTCCAAAACAATACAGAGAAACCATGTCTTGAAAAACAAAACAAAAAAAAGACGGAAAACTCCGGGCTGGAGAGATGGCTCAGTGGTTAAGAGAACTGACTAATCTTCCAGAGGACCCAGGTTCAATTCCTAGTCCCCACATGGCAGCTCACAGCTGTCTGTAACTCCAAGTTCTGACACTCTCACACAGACATACAGGTAGGCAAAACACCAATGGACATAAACTAAATTAAAAAAAAAAAAGAAGTTGTTAAGGTCATCCTCTCTATACCGTAGGCTGGGCCAGGTTGGGCTACATGATACCTTGCCTCCATAAAAATAAATAAACAAATAAATAAACAAAAACCATTCAAGAGTCAAAGAACCGCGTGCACAGACAATGGGAAACAGAAGGATCTGTAGACGCCTGCAAAGCTGGCTGCAGCTCTAAGGCCATAGCTGCAAT